GGCGCCCTGTCGGTGGTGCAGGTTGGGTCCCCGGGGGGCCAGGCAGCGCGGAAGGCTATTGTCCGCATGTGTCCAGGCCAGCCCTAGCCCTGCCTCCACCTGCGGCCTCCGGGCTCCCCGGGCACACACAGGCCCTAGGAAGCCCTTCCCTTCCTGCTTCCCAGCCTCTCCTGCCTCGGGTTCCAGGCATCTGTTCCCTCAAAGCCCAGGCGCTGGGGCCTGGCCAAGCCTTGGTCTGCCTTGGAGCAACTGGCAAAGATGCACTGTAGGTGCCCACCGTGATGCCCACGTGGGTTATTGGGGGGCTGCTCTGGAAGAGAGTTCCCTGAGGGAACTGGTACCCGATTCCAGGCTGCCTGCTGGACAGCGTGTGGCCGATGCTGGGCCTGTGCGCTCTTTCAGGACCTCGGTCTGTCTCTCTCCCCCCTCCCCCCTCCTCTCTCTCTCTCTTCTCTCTCTCTCTCTCTCTCTCACACACACACACACACACACACACACACACACACACACACGCACACTGGGGGTAACCTTAGCCCATGGTTCTCAAAGTGTGGTTCCAGGGCCAGCAGCATCACCTGGGAACTTGTTGCAAACCCAGATCCTCAGGCCCCATCCAGACCAACCAGATTTAAAACCCTCTGACAGGAGGGGCCAAGCAATTTGTCTTAACAAGTGATTGTGATGCCCGCTCAAGTTTGAGAGCCCCTGGTTTCAAGTCCACCTGGCACAGGATTCTTGCGGGGGGAGGGAGTGGGAGACCTGGCTTTAGAGCTCCCCTTTCCGAGCTTGTTTTCTCATCTGTAAAATGGGTCCCTTTGACAAACTGCACCTTCTTTAAAGTCTCCCTGGCAATTCTAACCTTTTGTAATTTTAAACGTCACCTTGCAGGACCTCACGTCCGTTTCCCCAGCTGGGGAATTGGTCATGATCAGGGTCAAAGAATGGTCCTCCCACCATGTTTCTTATCTGAAATACGGGACGATGGGGAGGGAGTCACGTTTCTAAGTCCTAAGGCAGAGGTCCTCCAGCTTGACTGCACTTGACTGCACTAGTTCACTGGGTCTGAGATGTCGTTCCCTACTGACCCTGATGCAGGAGGGGTCTGTGGGCCAGAGTTGGCCAAGTCCTGATTTTCGATCCCTTCCGCGGCTGGACAGAAATGTCCCCTTCTAGGAAGTGAGGGGGAAATGCAGAGTCCCACCAAGACTCTGTAGAGTCCCACCCACCTTTTTAGTCCCGAAAGGGCCGCCTCTAGGCCAGACAGCATCCTGTAGAAATTAGAAGGCTCCCATTCCTCTGGGTGGATGCAGCCCCCTGCCGGGGTCTGACAAGTGGACTCTGGGCTGTGTTTCCGCCCCTGCTCAACCCCTTAACCACACACTCTGAATGCAGCAGCCCTGGTAGCCTCACTGACACCGAGCAGGCTTTGGAATTGGCTGCACCCAGGTTCAAGTCCCACAGACCAGAGAGGTTGTGCGTCCAGCCCAGCGCACACAGCAGCGAGGAGGCCAGGCTCTCCAAAGCCCAGAACTTACTGGCTTTTTTTTTCTAGGTGCTTCTTGGGACTGTGGGTATGTGTGAGGAAGGAGGGTGTCAAACACCATGGGAGCAATTTCAGAACTAACCCATCCTTCCCCATAGGCAGTCTGTTAATGCCACCGGCCACCTTTCGGACACTCTGTGGCTGATCCCCATCACATTCCTGACCATCGGGTACGGGGACGTGGTGCCCGGCACCATGTGGGGCAAGATTGTTTGCCTCTGCACCGGAGTCATGGTGAGTACAGGCTCCTCAGGGACCCTCCCCTGTTCCGCACTGGTCATCCCCTGGCTCCAGGAAGCCATGGAGTCAACGCAGGCAGTCAGGGCCACCCTCAAGAAACTGGGCGTCTGGGCCCCCACAGCCCCAGTCCCTCTCTGGGACACAGACCCCCAGCCCCATTTCCTTTTAAAACACAGGAATCCATCCCCCAAACCCTTGCTCTCTCAGAAACCTAAGATCCCAGCCCTCATCCTCCTCAGGAACATGAGGCCCCTGACTTCCCAGCCCCATGTCCTCCCAGAATCCAGAAATCCAGCCCTGAGTCCCGTCAAGGCTCCGCATCCTGCCCCACCCCCTGGCCCCCTAGTCATCTAGGACTCAGGCCCCGTTTCCCAGCTCTGGGAGAGGAATCCAACCTCCATCGAGGCCACAGAGTCTAATCATGGAGAGTATGCCTGGGGCCAAATCCTGCTCCTGCCACTTCCTAGCTGGAAGCAAGCCATATGCTAGTAACTCCCAGGCCTCAGTTTCCTCGTCTATAAAATAGGATACTTACACCAGTGAACTCCTCCGGTTCCCGAGGAGATTAAGTGAATTGAAACATGTAAAGGATCTCAAACGGTGCCCAGCACATAGGAAACGCTCAGGAAGGGGTGGGAGGCTGTTATAAGGGCCCCGGCATCTGCCACCCCCACGCCAGCGCCAGTCCCTCAAGGACGAGGCAGAGGCTCTCACCCCATGATGCTCCTCCCAGAGTCAGCCTCCGCCCGAATCCATTCACCCTTTCCCTTCACAGACCCAGGCATCCAGTTCCCCCCATGCAACCCTTATCCCCCCGCCCGACTCCACCCCCACCCCCGGACCCAGCACCCAATGCCTTGGCCTTCACCTCCCCAAGAGACCGGGCTCCCTTACCCTCAGGGACTCAAGCCGCCAGTCCCCAGCCCTGATGTTGTCCCAGGAAGGACATGTTGAATCCCCAGGGAGGAGGGTGAGGGTCACCCCAACTGGGTGTGAGCAGCAGGGAGGAATGGTTCCCGCAGGAGCCTGAGGTCTGCCCCTTGCCCAGCCCAGCCCTCCTCTCCTCCTCCATTCATATCCTTAACCAAAGAGAATATTTTGATGGTGTAAATACATACAGGAGTTCATCTCAGACTCGTGACTTCTAATCCTCGCTCCCCGCTTGGAGCTGTTTGCTTGTCTGTCAACTAGGGGTGGTCGGGCCTGCCTTCTGTGGCTGTTGGGGGGCTGGGGCAAGGAGAGCTGGTGGAACAGGGCTGGCCTACAGAGCCCCACAGCCCTGTGTCACAGTGCCTGCTGTGCCCACAGGGAGTCTGCTGCACAGCCCTGCTGGTGGCGGTGGTGGCTCGGAAGCTGGAGTTTAATAAGGCAGAGAAGCATGTGCACAACTTCATGATGGACATCCAGTATGCCAAAGAGGTGAGGGCCGGCTGCACAGGAGTCCCAACCCCACCTCCCTCCTCCCTCAGACCCAGGAGTCCAGGCCCCCAGCCCCTCCTCCCTCAGGCCCAGGAGTCCAGCCCCCCGCCCCTCCTCCCCCAGACCCCCCCCCCCACCCCCGGGACCCCAGCCCCCAGCCGCTCCTCCCTCAGCCCCAGGAGTCCAGGCCCCCGGCCTCTCCTCCCTCAGACCCAGGAGTCCAGGCCCCCGGCCCTCCTCCCTCAGACCCAGGAGCCCAGGCTCCCAGCCCCCTCTTCCCAGAGCCAAGGGGTCTGTCTGCACTGACACTGTGCCACCCTCCCCCAGATGAAGGAGTCAGCTGCCCGAGTGCTACAAGAGGCCTGGATGTTCTACAAACATACACGCAGGAAGGACTCTGGAGCTGCCCGCAGGCATCAGCGCAAGCTGCTGGCTGCTATCAACACGTGAGGACTGCTGTGTGTGTCTGTGTGTATGTGTGTGTGCCCAAACCCATGTGCACCCACATGGGGGGAGGGGATTGGTGTGTGTGTGTGTGTGTGTGTACAGCCACATGCACCCATGTGTGACTGAGCAGATATCAACCTGGACCTCATAGTGACTCTGAGTCTGTGGTGGCTGATTTTGCATATCTCGGGGTGTCTGTGGATCTGCATACCTGGGTCTCTCCCAGGGAGGTGGACTCATGGGTGCAGCCCCCAACTTCAGCTCTCTAGCAACTTTTCCTCTTTGTACTGTATATACGTGGGTCTTTCCTCCCCTCACCCCTCCCCCACGCTGGGGCCACATCTGGGGACCAGGCTGATGGGAAAACTGACCCCCTACTTCTTCCCACAGGTTCCGCCAGGTGCGGCTGAAACACCGAAAGCTCCGGGAACAAGTGAACTCCATGGTGGACATCTCCAAGGTACCGGGATCCTGTGGGAGCGGAGAGGGAGGCTGGGGCCACGGGCAGGGAAATCTGGCCCCGGAATAGGGAAGGAACCCTGGCCAGGGCCTGGCACCCACAGGCACTCAATAAAGGTTTGTGGTTGGATGAATGAATGGTGTAATACCGAGTTTCTAAAAGTCATGCATTATACAGAGAGATCCCTTTTAAACTTAAAAAAAAATGGCACAAAGGACTCCAGTGTTTGGTTTTAAATTATTTTTATTGTCAACTTACTTACATGTGAACGGATATAAAATTCCTTCAAATTCTGACTCTTACACAATAATAAAACCAAAGCAAATTTACAAACCAAGCCCAAACACACATGGCAAAACCAATAAAATGCAAACGCACAACCCGGGCATGGGGAAGGGTGACTGTCCCGGTGAAACTCAATCTCTGCTGCTCCTGTGAAGAGGGGGCCAGGACCGGGGGTGCCTCCCCGGCCTGGCCAAGCCGCTCAGCTCGCCTCCTCAGGGCGGGGACGTCACACCCCTTGGCTGGACTCACAGCGTCTTTAGCTTATCCGGTGGCCTTTGCTTTTCCTCATTAGTCCGTGACAGTTCAAACAGTGGTCCCCGGCACCCCTGCCATGGTAAACACAGCTACAGGTACAGGCCTCTATGCTGCATGGCTCAGGGAGGAGGTGGTGGCCGAGATCTGCCAGAACTGACAGGCGCTAATTTCCTAATATTATCGAGCCATAAAACACAGAGTTAAAGAATTCTCACGGAAAGCTCACATGCCCTCAAGGATGAAGCTGTGAATCCTGGTTTGAGAAGGCAGGGAAAGGGCTAGGGGTGGGCAAACTTTTTGACTCGAGGGCCACAGTGGGTTCTTAAACTGGACCGGAGGGCCGGAACAAAAGCATGGATGCAGTGTTTGTGTGAACTAATATAAATTCAAAGTAAACATCATTCCATAAAAGGGTACGGTCTTTTTTTTTTAATTTTATTCATTTCAAACGGGCCGGATCCGGCCCGCGGGCTATAGTTTGCCCACGGCTGGGTGGATTTTGAAGGCAGGCGTTCATCAGTCCCACAAGTAGTATTAGTGAGTACCTCCAACATCCTAGGCCAGCGTGGGCAAACTATGGCCCACGGGCCGGATCCGGCCCGTTTGAAATGAATAAAATTAAAAAAAAAAGACCGTACCCTTTTATGGAATGATGTTTACTTTGAATCTATATTAGTTCACACAAACGCTCCACCCATGCTTTTGTTCCGGCCCTCCGGTCCAGTTTAAGAACCCATTGTGGCCCTCGAGTCAAAAAGTTTGCCCACCCCTGTCCTAGTCCCTATTGTAGGGGCTGCTTTGGGCCTGTCAATGAACTGCTCCGGGCCTGTTTCCTCATCTGTAAATATGGGGACAGGATTCTCACTCCCCGTGACTTGTAGGATTTTGCCAAGTAGCGGGGTGTGGTAGAGGTCAATACTTTGTACCCGTTACAACTGAGGATAAACCTCGAGGGCCCGTAACCCCATGTTGGTTCCACTGCCTTCCCCACCGGACAGGGAGGCTGCACCCCAGCCTCTGATCCCTCCGACCCTCTCTCTGCCCAGATGCACATGATCCTGTGTGACCTGCAGCTGGGCCTGAGCAGCTCCCATCAGGCCCTGGAGAAGCGCATCGACACCCTGGCAGGAAAGCTGGACACGCTGACGGAGCTGCTCAGCACTGCCCTGAAGCAGCTGCCGGAGCCCAGCCAGGAGGCCACATAGCTGGTAAGGAGGCTGGGGCGCGGGCAGGAGGGCATTCCGGAGGAAAGGTGTCCGTGGTCTGCACCCCCGATGGTGAAGGGGGCAGGGGAGGGCCTGAGGCAAGGCCATCCTTTCCCTTCCACTGGCTGTGCTGGGAAGAAAGGACGCCAAGTTTGGGACTGGATGGCAGTGGACGAAGGAGACATTTCTTCTCCCCTGTGCTGACCCTCAATACCCTCCCCTTTATTGCTTGGAATCTGTCTGTCTCTCTCTGTGCCTGTCCCTGGGCACGTTCTCGAGCTCTGTCCAAATGCCGGCAGCTCCTCATCTTGTGGTGCCGGGTACACCCACCCTCTTATTTCCTCCTTTGCCCACTGGTTTCTGTCCGTCTCCACTTCCGTGTCCCCGCTCTTGCTCCTCCTCTGGTGTCTGGTCTGCCTGTCCATCCATCTCCCTTTGTCTCCCCAGGACCCATGGAGGAAGAAGCAGGCTACTTTCCCCAGGACTGAGGTCGAGGACATGCGCTCTTCCACTCCTGACCCAGCCCTATGACTAAAACACCTCAAATGCAAGGACCCAGGGGCCCCACCTTGGGCTGGGTTGACTCACTGAAGCTGCTGGAGGCGACACTGGCTGTAGGAGGGAGGCCGTGGCCCATCCCTGAGGCCCCAGATGGGAAAATGGTCACCACTACCCCACATACCCTCCACAAAAACATCCTCACTGTGCTGCTACAGCTGGCCCCCAGCTTCTGTAGAAGTGGAGGTGCCTGCGGCCCAGAGTCCAGGATCCTGGGGAGCCTCAGTTACCCGCTGGTCGGCAGAGCTGAAGGAGCCAGGCCTGAAGCTGGGACAAGGCAGGAGGTGGCGCCCCCTGGCGGGAGAGCAGGAGGACACTATTTTTCTAGAGCTGCAGAGAATATGGTGGGAGAGGAGGTGGAGGGGGTGAAGGGGTTCACCAGTCTCTGTTCTTATACTTTGTAATAAATTTTAAACAAAGACAGAAGTTGCTGTTTCTTTCTAAACATATCCACACTTCACACAGGCAGCTCAGCCAATGGAAGGCCCTTACCCTGCCCTGTCTGAACCTCAGTTTTCCCATCTATAAAACAGGCCTTTCCTAGGTGCCCTCCCAGGTCTGTAGGCTGCAGAGTCCTCAACAACCTCCCCACCCAGATCTGAGACTAAGAACAAGGGCTTTGGATTCAGGCAGATCCTGGCTCCACCATCCACTGGCTGTGTGTCTGGGGGCAAATGGTTCTACCTCTCTGAACATGTTACCTCACGTGTAAAATGGGGCCACCCCCCATGGAGCTGTGGTTCAAACAGGACGGCCCAGAGGGTCAGGAATTCCGTAAGAACCAAATACAGGGGCTAGTCAATCCTTTTATTATTGCTATTGGTTGTCAGACACGATGCTTGGCTGCCCCTTTTCTCTCTTCTGCCCTTTTCCCCTCACTAGGACCTAGATGACAACTCACCCCTCAGGAGACTAGCAGGAACCCTAAACCACCCCCTACACTCATTTCATATCTGCGAGGACTCAGACAGGAAAAGGGAGGGGGCTGGCACTTCCGGAGATCCCACTGTACGCCCGGCTCTGTGCTCCCCTTTTATAAATCACCAAGACCACTGCCCCATCCCACCCCACCCCACCGTACAGACACAGAAACAGGTTCAGTGGTGCCAGTCCTGAAGCTGAGACCAGGGTTGCAGGGTCCGGATTCACGGGCAGCCTGTCCCTCTGTGCCCTGCGGGATGAGTCAGAGGCAGAGTGGCCTCGGGCCTCGAACCCAGGTCTCACTTCCTACAGTGGCTGCATTCCTCTTTGAGAGGCTGATTCACCCTCACTTCCCTGGCGTTGCGGGGAAGCGGGGGCTGCGAGTCATCCTCCTCTGCTGAGCTATCTTTGGATTTCCCTCCAAGTCGGCAGCCAGCCTCACCCCTCGGCCCGGCTAAACTGGGGCCTGCACCACCCACTGCCCGACTGCCCGTCCTCGCCACCAACCCGCCTGGGGGGCAAAGGAGACAGGAACTAGATGGAACCTCTGAAGGCACTTCCAACAGCCTCCCCTCGGGAAACCCTACTTACCGTGTCGCCTGGTAACCTGCCGAACTCATTAGTCTGGGACCACTCTTTCTTCGTTCCCCTCCGCGCCCCCCTTCAGCTGGCAGACTCCTTCCTACTCCTCCTTTAGGCCTTGGCTTAGATGTCCCCGCCTCCAGGAAGCCCTCTTGCACCTGGTC